GATTGCTGCCTGCCATTTTCACGACTTGTCACTACCTATCGCGACTGGTCGATCGCACGATCGGTCGCTTCGTCGCAACTCCGATTGAAGAGGTGAGGCTCGGAGGCAGGTAGAGGTAGTATGACAACTGTGCAGCAGAACCTGTGCATCGCAAAAGATGTTGTATCACGCGGTCAGGTTTGCCATCCAAAGCATCTAGTCTGTTTTGCCATGAATGTTTCTAGGAGTTCATACAGTTGCTTTGCAGCCATTTGGTAGAGGGTCGCAGGACGAGAGCTTGTGAACATTTTGCCGGTTAAACCGTCAGCATGGTCGCCTTGCGACTCTTCAGCCTGGCGTTGCCTTGCCTGGCAGCTCATGCATCTTTGCCGAGCTCGGGATCTTGCGCGCAAACCAATGCAGCTATCCAGTCTGACGAGGTGGACCTCCTGCAGCAGCATGTGCAGGAACAAGTGCATGCGTTTAAGATCTCCGAGACGCAGGAGTTTGGGCGGGTGGACGACAACGTGACCGTTCTAAAAATGGAGACGATGTCCTTGAACACCGAGCAAACCGTGTCCCTACGTCGCAAACAGACACTTCGCCAGCTTGGATGAGGATGGAGATGGTGCCCTCACTGCCTCCGACATTCAAGCGGGCGTGTTCAGCGGCAGCAAGATCGAGGAACTCCTCCACGGAGGCGTTTTGAATGTGACCGCGTCAGCGTTGAAACTTTCGTCGGAGGAGGTTGCTGCGATCATGGCCCGCGGTGACCAGGACCACTCCGGCACCCTCACTTTCGAGGCCGGGGGTTTGCTGATTTGAAAATTTGAGAACTGCTTGATCTACATACCCCAAGCCAGTAGGGACAATCAACCCCAGGAGCTTCAAATGGCACTGCCGCTCGAGGACAAAGCAGAACTTGGGGAGGCGAGTGTGTTGCAGGCGACGCAAACCCTTTCGAGCAGGTCTGGCAAGTGCATGACATCAACCACAGTGAACCAGGACTCATCATGTGTAAGGATGGTGGAGGAGGTGTTTGGATGCGACTGCCGTTGGGAGTGGAGGTGCGAGGGCTTCATGTGCAGCGACAGATTGCAAGTTCAGAAATGCAACTCGGAGTGTACAAGATTTGCAGCGGAAACCTACAACTGCGTGGTTGAAGTCACGGAAACAGTTGTGAAGGCTGTCGATGCATGCATCCAAGACGTTATCGATGAGGTTTTGTCCAAACTGCCGGCAGAACTCAAAACGTTTCTTGATGTTATCAAGGGCTGCACCAGTATTGATGGTTGCAGACGTCAGCTTGAAGGTAGCCTGGAGGCCTTGGGGCGCCTCGTGGGGAACTGGCTGGATGAGAACTTGCAGAGCACCTTTTCGGATGCCTACTCGGAGTTGCAGAAACTGGAAACTACAGGGCAGGACCTGGTGGGTGGACTTGAGACAATGCGCGGCAAAGTGGAGAACACAGCCAGGTCTGTGGGGAGTATGGTTGAGGGCGGGTTGCAGACTGCAGAGAGCATCATCAATGAATACGGCGCCATCGACAACTTCTGAGCCCCCGCGAGCGAGTCCATTCCAGACTCTGTTGCCATCACCGACTGTGGGGCCTTCAACCAGTTGGAGAAGCTTTTCAAAGAGCCTTGGCAGATCGAGCACAATTTCAACGAGGTCGTCAAGAAGCTGAAGGAGTGCGTCGAAAAGAAGTATCAAGGCAAGATCCCCTCGCCATTTGTCAGCCTCAGCAGCTCGCCAACTTGCGTCCCAGACGTCCTTCAGCTGCCAATGAAAGGATTGCTGGCCGCGGTCCGCTACGCCCTAGCGCAAGCGCCAGGGGCCGCATCTGGTCTTGCAGCAGGAATCATGGACCTGGTGGACAACGTGAAGAGCATAGTGAATCGCCTGAAGGCCCTCGTCACGGAGCATGTGTCCTTTCTCCAGGGCGAGGCCTACAGCTCAGCAGAAGGCTTCGCAAGCTTTCCCGGTGATTGTGATAACAACATTGGTACCATTGTCGGCGAGTTCCTGGTCCCTTTCAAGACAGAGGTCAGGGCTGCCGTGGCCCTCATTTTTCAATACCGTTTGGGATGCAAAGATTCGAAGTGGTTCCACCACTTTGCTATCAACCTTGGCATGGATTCTGCTTCTTTGCTTGCTTGGCACCTCTAAACCCCAAACCCTGAAGCTTAGATCCTAAACCGTAAACCCTGAACCTTAAACACTAAACACGATCCTGTAATCCAGGATCCTTGGAAAGAGACGCCGGCTTCGTATGGCTTCGGTATCGCCGTTGGCCGCGGTCCAAGCCCCAACACCAGCCCGTTCAGTTTTGCGCTCCTAGTCAAGGCTGGCGAAAGATGCCCTTCAAGCTCTTTGCTATGGGGTCCAGGGCCTAGGGAAGTCTAGGGTTTACGCTTTAGGGTTTAGGTTTCGGGTTTTCGGCTTTAGGGTTTAGGTTCCCGGGTTTATGTAGGCTTTAGGGGTTAGTTTTTTTGAAATAGGGTTTGGGATTTGGTCAAGGCCGGCGCCAAGAATATACCCCTCAAGATCGGGAAGGCTGCTGTGGGCCACTCGGTTGGAAGTGCTTAAGACGTTTCTGAAGAACCGGGCGCAGTGAAAGAGCCAAGGAGTTGCCGTGGACTTCGCGCCCTTGCTGAATGGTGCTGGCATGGTTGGCATCAAAGCCTTCGGGACGTTGACGTGGCCCGTGCCGAAGCCCGCGGACGCGCCGTCCCTGGCTGAAGCGGTGGCCCACGCTGCAGCGTTGGTCCAGACAGTGGACTCCCAAGCCTTGCACCAGAGTGAGCAGATTGAACCCACCCTCGTTTTTGGGGGGGTGTTCAGCTGGTGCGTCACGTGCGACGGCGCCAGCCTGGATACTTTTTGTCAAAGCCGCTTGGCTTAGCCATTGCTGAATTGTTGCCCTGAAAGCAAGGACAATGCCTGTCATGTGAAACCATTGTCAGAAAGATGCTTTGGCGTGTGGCAGCCTCACGTCTCGCAGCCCAGCTCAGGAGACCAAGGGACCCTTCATTACGTGGGCTCCTGCTCGCAGTGCGGCACCTTCAATTTCTGCCAAAACTATCTTGAAAACCGGCCCGGGCTGGATTGCGATTACACGATCGGCAAGACCTTGGAAGAGTTCGGTTGCAACAATCTCCCCACCTCTCCATCTGTGGTCCGTGACTCCGACACTCATCGTATCTACGTGCGAGCCTTGGCCGCCAGTGAGGCAGGCCACAGTTGACTGGGCAGAAGAGGAGAAGAGCATGTAAGACAGGGCAGAGTCTTCTTTTACTCTTTCCATGTTTGAGCTTCCGGTTATTTAGCTCAGGATTCTTGGGAACTCTTCATCATGTTGGCAGCTGCACACAGTGCGGGCGGTCAAATTTGTGTGGACCCTTGCAGAAGAACACGCCGGACGTTGAAAAGGATTATATGACAGGTGAGGTGTTAGAAGATTGGGGTTGCGACAAGCTCCCCGCCTCTCCGATTTTGGTTCGGAACTCCGTCACTGGAGCTATCTATGTCGTGGAGGCGTGAACCTCGATAAACATTCCAGATGAGGCCGCTTTGGTGTCCCAACTGGCCGAATCGTGGTGCTTCCAAGAAATCTTTTAAAAATCTCGATTTACTAGGTCACGAGACTGCAGGCGGCGAAAACCGCAATAAACCAGCTGCGTCATCAACAAGAAAAGCTGCAGGCGTTTTTGCTCTGTGAACCATGCAAGAATTCTTGAAGTGTATGTTTGGAATGGAGCCTTTGCTGATTGCACATCATCGTTTCATTAGCCAGCTGATTGTTTCGGTTTTCAGGACAGCGTTGTTGCATGGCATCATAGTTTCGAAGCCAGTCCAAAACCAGCCACGGTTCCCAAGAAGGATATACTGTTTGATGGAGACTACCCAGTGCCAGTCCGAAGATATGATGCGAATTAGCAATATTGCTGCATTGCTGCACACGGTGACGGTGACACTTGCCACCGATGTGAATGTAGCCATGGTGGTAAACCGGTGTGTCCTGAAGGTCCTTGACGATGTAGGCAGCCATAAGATCAGTAGATTCGGTGCAAGGAAGACGTAAACAACCGCGCTCCACTTCAAATGTGTTGCCATGGGTGTCCGAAACTCAAACAGCTGAACTGTTCAGCCCCTGCATGATATGCAATGAAGGCATGATCAGATGACGCTTGGCGCTTGTAGCAGCTTCGCCATCGCTGAGGTCGTGCATTGTTGTGAAAGCCCCGAGGGTTACAATGAGGCGCTGGCACTCCTATTCCTAATCTGAGGCTGCTAGAGACGTGTGAGTGGTGTTATGCGTGTACCAAAGCAGGAACTGCGGTTTCTACTTGGAGGATCATGGGACTTAGTAAGTAGGGTTATAGTTAAGGTAACTATACTTATAACCCCAATTAGGGGACTTATAACCTTACTTACTAAGTCCCATGATCCTCCAAGTAGAGTTTGTAGTTTCATCAGGGTGGCGTGGTTGTGGACACAGCGAGCATTCTACCTTCTCTGCCTCATGGCAGGGGTCCTCAGATCCGAATATCGGTGGTTGTCGGAATTATGGTCCCTTTTGGGGTCCTTATTATAATACGGCACCTATTATTTAGGGTACCCCAAAACGGACCATAATTTTGATTTGACAACTACCCATATCTGTTGTCCGTGCATGTTCCTGCCATGCCTGAACAGTCAGGAACTTCCGTCGGCACGTTGCAACTGCCCATTTTGCAACATCAGACAGGTAGGACAAAGAGCCATTGTCGTGTTTCGGCTCTGCGAGCATTTTCCGCTTCTGTTCGACGACTGTCTGTTGGTTGAATTCTCGTACACCAGCATCTTGGTTGCACTCAGCTGTCGATGGCACTGTGATTGTGCAAGCTTTCCCCAATGCTGTCGGCTGTCATGTCGATCTGCACAACACAGGTTATGCAAACGATTAGCGAGATGGCTTCTTCTAGCACCCAAGATTCGTTCGTACATGCGATGGAAAATATTGCAGGTAGCAGCTAGTCATGGCTGCCTTCGGATTTCTATGCTTGTTGGCGTCGGTGTACCCGATCGTCGCGATCCGTGAAGCCGTGGAGAAGGAGCCACTGCAACTTTCTGAAGTCTGCTTGAGCAGTGATGCGACTGTGATACAGCCTTCAATCCGTAGCCCGTGATCGGGCCAACAATGTTCAATTTTGCAGTCTTGTTTTCGGGCAGCGACGGATGAAGCATCGGTTACATGCCTTCAATTCTAAATCGCAGTCCAACATTTAATGCTCAAGGCTCAAGCGAAACGTGTGAGATATAGACACAGTGTTTTCAGCAACCACATTGCTACTGTTGGCTCCACTCCGAGTACTGGTTGCAATCCTGGTTGTACCTTGTACCACTATCGGCAGCGTGGCTCTACTTCTGCAAACGCTGCTAGTGGGCCGTACATGTAATTCAGTTTCACTTCCAGCAATCCGGCGTGTCCGAATGATATGATACATGAAGGGTTGGGTTCCTTTGTATATAATGCACGATTCAGAGTTTAAACTTTACCAGGTGTTCACGTGTCGAAATGTGGGGAAGAGCAACCTGTGTGCAGGAGAATCTTGCGCTGCGAGGAGGCGCTTGCAGCTAGCGCGTTATTGACAGGCTTCGTATTATCGTGGTAGCACTGTCTTGTCGTCGTGGCAGGCGACACGATATCATTCAACATCCAGGTAAAGGACGTTGGCAGTTGTGCTTTAGCTGCAGGTGAGATGGTCTAGTTGAACAGAGACTCAGACTCAGACCTGCCCGAAGGTAGCTTCTTTGGGACGGATAAGCGCAAGGTGATGCTTGGTTGGAGCATGCTCGGTATTTCCGAGGTCCATGCAGCCGAACTCGGTTGTTTGGTTCTGTACTGTGCCTTTGTCACTGAGGACACTGACAATCAAGGACACGAGGTCGGAGGGGCATCCTTCTTGGGACTTTGACTACTACTTGCATCTCGGTCAAAACCTTCGCTATCACTAAAACGCTCGCCTGGCCCCAACCGCATGCAAAGTTAGTTGTGAACCCTAAACGTGCAGCAGCTCAAGCCAAGGATGAACATGGACGAGGCAAAGGAATTTTTCCACGTCGGTCAACTCCACGGCAACTCGGCATATTGGTACTTACGTTGATGGGAAATCCGTGAAGTGCCCCCTCCTTCTCTCTCTCTCTCTCTCTCTCTCTCTCTCTCTCTCTCCTTCTGCCTGACGCAATCTGTTGCTGTGCCAGTAGCGCTGTAAGAGAAGTAGTGAGAAGAAGCGGCATTCTTCAGTCGTAGTAGTCGTAGGCGTAGGCGTAGTCGACGTCGTAGAAGCGGTAACGGCAGTAGTGATGGTAGTCGTAGTCATAGTCGTCATAGTCATAGTCGTCATCGTAGTAGCAGTAATGGCAGTAGTAACGGTATGGCCAGCAGGACAGTCACGCAGCAACAGCAATGACTCGAATCGTCATCATGGTAAAAGTGAGGGCATATTTGGTCCCTCCTTCACCTCCAGGTGTTGACCCGGAAGCAGAACTCAAGGCGACGGTGACGGTGAAACAACAGTACGTTGTGGAGGCCTTTACTCAACTTTCGAGCGGGACGAGAGCGGAAAATGGTGCTGTGTCGATTACTTGAATTGTCGCCAGGCACTGGGCTGGGCTTCTTGTGGCACCGCGACAAGAGACATAACATGGGGACAAATCGGTCCGATTCCTGCCCCCCACTGAGCATTATGCCGTCATGTTCCGTCAGTCTCCCTGTAGCATTGCACCAGGGTGTACAATGCCCGCAGGCAGCCGTAGTGCCCGTCAGCAAGGCGGGACATGCTAGAAGAGTTCCATAACCTGTGATGTCGCGGAAATCCAAATCCAAGCGCCTGCGCTCATCTCGGCTTCATGTCTAAGGACAAGCGTGCCGGGTTTTATCAATTGGTTAGTCTCCAGCTTACAATGGAGGCAGGATTGGAGGGCCATTCTGCAGCCTCAGATATCGCAGCCATTGTGGGAGGGTGCTGGGCTGCCAGTAGCTGTTCCTGCTACGAAGGCTGCGAAGGAAACAGACGCTCCCAAGGTCGGGCAGCTCCATGTCGTCGAGGGGTGTCTTGACATTTGCAGCCTCATCTCAATGCTGCCTCCGTTGCGCCAGCGTGCTTTTTTTGTTCGCAGGAGCGCATGATCATCACCGATCCAGCATCTCGGTTCGGCTTCATGCCGTCCGCTTTCACACTTCCACGTTCTAACGAGGGCAGAACTTCTGCCAGGACATGAGCTGTTCTGCGCAGCAGAGGGTCAAGAAGAGTCCGGCTAAGGATGCTGGCCAGGTCCGGGCGCGTGAACTTGCAGTGGACACGGACAGGGTGCGTTGCTGGCAGTCGTGTCAGTGCTGAGTTGCGGGAGCTCGAGGTCCTGCTTAGTGGAATCGGAAAGCTGGAGACCTCGTCCCCAGGAAGTCGAGTCCGTTGTGACCGAGAGCACGACAGCCACCACCACGACAGCTCTGGACCTGGCAATGGAGAAGGAGAGCGTGCGTTGCTGGCAGTTCTGTCGATGCCCTTGTCGGATCGAAAAGCTGCATTCCCTTTCGTCAAATGCAGGAAGTCGAGTCGGTTCTGGCAACGTTCACAACTACGACCACAACACCCACAATTCCACCTCCGGTCTCTGCTCCAGAAAATGGCGCGGACCAAGCCGCAGGCCTCGATCCGACGGAGGAGGCACTTCCTTTTGCGGTTGCGGACAGAAGTCGTAGTCGCGAGTCACTGGCTCTCTTGCACTGCGATCTGCGGACGCACAGGAGCACGACGATGAAGAGGAAGAGCATGGGGAGGACCGATCTCGTCTCGGCGTGGCTTTCGCCACGGCACCATGAGTGGCCCAGGACACAACAGTGGCAAACGTTGTCGACGACGTGAAGGCGGGGATGGGGCATGTCACAGGTCGCGGTGACACGGGAGTCGCAGCTCCTGTCAAGGAGAAGGCCGCGGCGAAACAGGTCAATTGTTTCCGGGCTGAATCCAATTTGCCAGTCACGGCTCGGGTGTCTGTTCTACAATGACACAAGCTCGAACGATGAGACTACATGCGAATGCATAGGCATAGGTGATTCTGTCAGGCGGATGTTCAGAGCAGGTCACATTGAGGAATCGCGCTCATTAAGAGGCGTCTCCATTACATCCATCCTTGATTCCATGCTTGTTGACTGACAGGTGGGTTGTCAGCGGTTGCTCTGGATAGTAGCCAATCTCATCGGAAGGTGGCCTTCCCTAGTGGAGTTTTGGGTGGGCTTGTGTCTACCAGCGTCTGTGATCAGAGCAGCTTCTGACCGTGTGCCCACCAGATCCACCAGTGAAAGGCAAAAAGTGCATCTTCCGCCTGGGAATTGGCCTGGAGGGTCTGCGAGCTTCCCAACTGCAAGGCTCGACCGCCACAGTATTGTGCTGCATGGACTTTGCGACATAGGCCGCCGAACTTAGCAATAACCCAGCGGTGCCTCCCGAAGGTGTGATTGATGCGCTCTGTGATGCGGAGGATTGCAGCTCCGAGTGCCACTTAAACGCAGATGGAGCACCGCTTGTTGGCAGTTGCAGAGAGTGCTGGATTCCACAGCAGCTCGTCTCGGCATTGATTATACACTGTCCGCCTAGGCAAGGGCCCCTACGGCGGCTTGGATCTCACATGCGAGAAGGACGGTTTAGATGCAAAACACCGGTTGTGCACTTACCTTACGAAGAGAGACACTTGTTCATCCCTGCATGCATGACGTTTCGTGGTTGCAGAACGAGGGATATCGCTCAAACGTCGCTCGCGGCTTTGCGTCACCATGTGCGACTGGCAGAGAAGCTTGGAGACGCGCCGTTTGACTCGGCAGGAGGAGGCTGCAGTGAAGCTTATGAAGCGGGCGCTCATTGTGGCTCAGCTCATGTGGTTTCAGAGGGTGGCACGCAACGCCGCCTTTCAAGCCTTCTGCTCTTTGATTCTCAGCTTCCAGAAGCTCTGCAGCGGGAGTCATGGTGAATGCAGCTTTTCCCTAGACGAACATCGTGCGGATGGAGATGGAGGAAAGGAAAATCCGAGCCGCCACAAGTCCTCAGGCCAGCAGAGGGTCGCAGAGGGTCGCAGAGCAGAGTAGACTCTTTAAGACCTGGCCTGGCAGTGCCCGGCAGGATCAGCAGAAGCTCGAGCTGGCGGAACGGGCAAGCGCGAGGGACCGGTGTTCGCTTGTGATGCTAGTCTGCTAGAGTGGTGCCAGTGTCGTAGATGCCGGCCGATGAGGCGTGCTGTGTCCGGATGAGACCATCTAAAGGAAGTCATCAAAGAAGGAGCCGCCTGTCTTCAGGAGGGCAACGATCTTCCGGTAAATTCTCCTGCGGTCCTGGCGACGGAGGCGCGGTTCTGTGTCGAGACCCGAGGCTTCCAGGTAACTGAGGGTAGTTTTACATCTGAGGCCACTCGGCATACTAATGCATGCTGATGCATCATATCTTGATATCCTTCTTAATGGGGTTCTCATGTTTCGAGTGAATGCTGGGTTCCGTAGTGCATATGTCGCCACATCTTTGCGCCACAGACACGTCCTGGCTGGTCTTTGATTGTGTCGAAGAGTGAGCTGACCTTGAGACTCTGAGAGACCTCTGGCGGCTTGCCGGGGTCGACCTTTGCGGCCAGAGGGCCGCAGGCCCGCAGCCCGGCCGCAGCCTCTGCAGGCTTGTGGTGGAGGTCCCGACGAAGTGGCGGCGTGGTCAAGGAACGAGCTGGCTTCTTGGCTGAGGTCAGAGTGGTCAAACTCATGCCACTAAGTTGGCGGCATCAGCAGCGCCCAAAATTCCCGTCCTCTCGAGACTTGCTGTCATGTTTAAAGACGCTGCTGCACTGGGAAGCATGGTCGCAGGTCATGTGATAAGCTGTAACTTCAGCATCGTATTTAGCAGTAATCGGCTTTACAAAAAGTTAGAAAGTAGAAACTTACTCTACGCTGTGGCCAGCCTGCTCTGCGAAGGCCATGAAAGTAGACGATAATCTGCTACAACCTGCTTTATTTGAATGTTCTCAGGTGAGAGCAGCCGGAGGCTCCAGCAAAAAGGGCAAGGAGCGGCAGCAAGATAGGGCATGTTGCACGGTTGCGGCAGACCAGCGTGGGCTGAGGTTCTGCTAGATTTTGCTGGCTTTCCCTTCTGCAAAGCAGTGTAAGAATTTTTACATCTTCACGAGGATTATCTTCGGAGCAGATCAGAGCCCGGTTCCCGATCTGATTCGGAATCGACTTTACAGGGGATCGGGTATGATCGGGCTCTCGCTGTCACTTGAGCTATGGACGGGTTCCTGGATTAACGTACCATAGCCTGGTATGCTGTATCAAAGCACCAGCTACCATCATATACCCTATTCTACCATGCTATCTACTTTCTGCCATGGCTACTTTTTGCCACGGAGCTTTGGATCATGTGTTGGAGCGCTTTGAACTTGCTGCCGAACGGCTGTCATGGGGACTCCCGAACGTCGCTCGTGGAGTGGCTTCCGAAGCACCTTCCATGGCACGATGATGATGCTGATTGTGCTGATGATGGGCTTGATCATGCTGTGTGTGTGTATGTATGTATGTATGTCTGTATGTCTATCTATCTGTCTATCTGTCTGTCTGTCTGTCTGTCTGTCTGTCTGTCTGCATGTATGTATGTATGTAAGTATGTATGTAAGTGTTTTTCAGTGTTGGTGCTGATGTGATGAGGAGGATATGATAATGCTGACTCCAACTGTTGCCGTGAACAAGTGAACAAGCAGTTGTTTTTTATTCTGTGCGCGCGGCACCTCCGTGCTGCTGCAAGCTTCCTTAACTGTTACCGTCATTCCCTTGATGGTGGCTTTGGTGCTGTTTGTCGGGTATTGTTAAGGCCTCGACTGATGCTGCAGCTGTATGCGGATTCGCACTGCAGGATAAGGTGGCCAAGAAGTACCTGGAGGCCAGGAGTCTCTGCCCCTCACAACATTGTGTCGGCGGGCAGAGTCTACGCGTGGAGTTCCGGTGTTATGAACGGTCAGAGGAGATCGACTGGCAAAATGTAGAAGAGTGGAGGAGTGGTATCAGAATCCTTCTTTCCTGCGTAGACCCGTGTTCGGACAGCTCTACCACGCATGCCTCAGCTGTAACGTGCTTTCATCGAAATTGGTCCTGCAATCCCTATGAACCAGCGCCTTCAATCCCCAGCGGTGCCTGGTGGTCTCAGTTCGATATGAGCTCCCATGACGACACCTTCCAGGATCTAAGAAGGATGTCACAAAGGCCCTACCGAAGCTGCAACCTGCTGAGCCGGTGTGCGGTCCAGGGCACCTGCAAAGAGCGGTCGAAGAAGATCCCAGTTCCTGGCTACAAGTGCTCGGCCGTGTACACTTCGCTGATGGGAGTGAAGAACAAGGCGGGCCAGAGGAGATAAATTTGACATTTCTTGCACCGCTCAGACAGAAAGCTTTTCGGAAAGATCGAGAGAAGGGCTAGACTGCCAGACTCGCTGCTGAGAGGATTGACTTGGTTGGGATTGGCATGGCATTGCACAGAATACTTGCTGTTCCGTAGCAGAGTTCGCATCGTCAACACCAGAACGAGCAAGCTGTGCGCTAGACTGTGCTGAAGTCTTGCATTGTCAACAGGAGAAGCACGGCAGTGATTCAGTTGCATTAATTGCTACGACGGGGACAATGGAGGACTCGATTTTGGCTCGCTGTGAGCTGTGAGTGGCAAGCTACACAAGTAGGCGATGAGCAAGGGCACCTCCCTTAGAGTGGCTGAGCAAGATAGGACCAAAAGCGTAAGCAGTCCGACCGGGTGCACGGGTTAATGACGACTTCTAGTGCTTCTATGCAATCTGCTTTCGAAGCAGATTCGGCCTGCGGGTCAGCTGATTCTTCAGAATTTTGGTTTGAGTGGGCTCCAGCGTGCAAACACTGAGACTGCGACTTCACCAAATACCTGAAGCACATGGCGAAGAACAATTTCATTGAAGGCTCCTAGTCCGAGAATGCAGCACAGTGTTTTGCAGAGTAGCGGGGAGGAGGCGAGTTCTCAGGAAGGTGCTACCGGGCACTCCAAGCAGCTTCCTGTCTAACTGTCGCAGGCTGCCCCGAGGGACTTTGGCGCATCTGCGAGGATGGGGAGAGGTGCCATGCCATCAGGGCCGGTGTCGCCATAGTCGTTCGTTTCACCATCACAGAATCACAGGTGCATTGGGACCCGGTCCACCTACGCCTTGTGTGTTGCCACGGAGGTCTAAGGAAGCTCGGCTTTCTTTTTGGATGTTGTGCAGGTTTTCTCAGCAAGACGCACGTGGATGTCATGTCAAATGAGGTGATGGCCACATGGTCGTGATTGCTCTTCTGAGCCGTTGTAGGAGGAGGGCTCCGTCGGTGCAACTCGAAGAGTCCGAAGGCACCTGGAAAACGAACTCGTGCATTCTTAGAGTAAATGCATCCCTCAGCACCTCGCTGTATCCAGTGATGTCGTGGCAGCCAGACAGCGCTTGAGTCCACGTTTTCTCGCGAAGAGTATTGAAACATGTCTCTCACCCAGGTGACAACGGTCCATCCCGCTGCTGCTGCTGCCATATGAGTTCACTGAGTTTTGGTGTTTGTGACGTTTTCAGCCAGCCTTAAGGTGTCGAGAAGTCAGCTTGTGAGGTAGCAATACTGCCACTGATTACTTGAGAGATGCACAGAAGCAGTCAGACTAACCGTCTGAGCATGCTCACAGCAGTGATAGAGACCATACTGTAGTGGTGGCCTTGTCTAGCTGCTAGCAGTAATTAGTTCTACTCTTAATTGTGCTAGCAGTGCAGGGGCAACAGTCCCGTAGCAGGGCGATGGTCGTCGCAGCAGCGATGGCAATAGTAATGGCCGTAACAATAGCAAAGGCAATTGTAGTAGGAAATGAGGCTCATAGTCATGGTCGTGGTAGTGATAAGCACTAGCAATAGTAATAGTAGCAGTACCAGTTACAATAGCAGGAGTGGCAATAGGGGCAGGAGTAGGAGGAGGAGGAGGAGAGGAGTAGGAGCAGTAGAAGTAGTAGACGAAATAGCGGGTGGTGAACATTGTGTTGAGACCTGAAGTATGGTGATCCGATTCTTCACTGCAGAAGTAGGAGCAGTTCTAGGATGCACGATGGAGGCAAATTGGTATCGGTTTGGGAATGTTAGATGCTGGGAAATGAGCATTTGTTTTGTCGGCTTGAGCCGAACAGTGCCCGCGTCCGAGCCTCCCCTCCATGGATCCATGTCGATCATGCCACGAAAACTTGACTACAAGGCAAACAGGCGGCATTCCCTTTCCCGCTTCCTCACCAACGCCCCTGCTGCAAACAAGTCAAGCCACCTCTGAAGTCCCGAAACGACGCCTTCGGCCCTAGCCGTTCGGTGCTCTGTGAGCTCAAGGGCCAGGCTGGGGCGGGATTCGGTGGGCTCTGCACTTGAGATGTGCCTTGATTCCTGAAACCTGAGCTTTGTCTGGATTTTGTGCCTGTACCCCTGCGCTGCTGGCTCCACCACATAGCATGTACATCTCATGGAACCAGCAGGCCAGAAGACACGGACAAAAAACGAAGCGAGAGTCGTGAGGATCAGAACAGCAGACAGGTGCCGAAAGGCCGAACACTGATGAGACAAAACCGCTTGCCTAGATCCAACACCAACGAGACTCACCCAGCCACGCAAAGCTCAGTCAGCTGCTTGTGCCAAGCTGTTGGTCGCTTGCCTTCCAATCTTCGCGGCCAGGTCCAGGTCGTGCTCAACCCTGCTGTACTGATTTAGCATAACAGTTTACTTCTCGCTTTTGACCGGCTGACTTGTTATCGCGCCAGGTTTGCATACCGCGTGGTATGCCCATTGCCTTCTTCCTGCGTGCCTGTCTTCGCCGTCATGTTAGTGTGCTGTCCTCGTGAAGTTGCTGCTTACAGAGGTATCAGCATCATCACTGCTTCGATGCCTTAGGCTTAGACAGCGTGCGCCTGTGGGCGCGCGGCGTGCGTGTGGTGCCTGGAGCATTTGCTGGTCGCTCCTTGGTAGCATGCAGTCGCTCGATGACATTGACTATCTTAGGCCTCGGAGCATTGTCATTTCGTTTTTTGATCAACCTCAGAAGCGGGACTTAATACTGGCTCGGCAAGTGCTTCGGCCATTTTGGCAGATGCTGCACCTTACTGCTCTGACGAAGAGGAAGAGGAAGACGAGGACGAACAGGAGGAGGACGACAACGACGACAATGACGACGACGACGATGACGACTACTATCACTCCAATGCTGCTACCGCTACCACTAGCACTAGGACTACTGTTGCTACTGCGCCTACGACGCGAGGAGGGAGATGAAGGATGATTACTGCAGCTTTCCCAAACTCCCCTAGAGCCTTAACCCCAAAGCCCTAAACCCTAAACCCTAAACCCTAAACCCTAAGCCCCAAAGCCCTAAAGGCTTAAGCGCGTGAGCCTCAGGCCGAGCTTGTCTAGGCCTTGGGCTCCGCACTGGGAGGCTGGGCCTGCTCCGAGTGAAGGGGTGCCAGCGGCAAACAGGAGGCGTTTCTTGAATTAGGGGGGAGTTGTAACGAGTTGTAGAGGGCTTACGAGGTTTGTATATGAGGTGTAGTAGCGTTCGTGGCATTTTGTTCAATGACCCGTATAACCCTAAATTAGGGTTGCCTGTTTGCTGAAACTCACCCGCATGGTGTCGGGATGCAGCAACAGCACTAGCACGCGTGAGCGATATGCGCACATAGAATGGGGAGTATAGCAACATTAATGCATTAGACAACCAGGCAGACCGGATAAACAAAAACCTGGTAGTACGACAGATTGCGGAAGTTGCCGACCCGTACAGTCGCCTGGTATCACTTAAGGCCAACACGGAGTTGCCGGCAAATGAAGCCCGAAGCGTTATCTCCAGCCAGAATTCGCGGGGCAGTGTCGCGGTTTGTGGGTGCTACATGCGGCAGCTTTGGGCCAAAGCACCGTCCTACCAGGCAGATGTCATCCGTAGAGCAAGGGCCGTGCCAAGGCCCTTGAAGGAGAACTTGGCACTCGGAATGGCAAAGTGCAAGGAAGGAGAGGTGTGGCAGAGCGTGTGGCGACTACGGCTCCAGCAAAGTGCGACGGACGAGTCGACGGAGAAGGTGCCCGAGGAGACTTGGGGCGGACGTCCTACGCAGAGCAGCCATAGAGCCAGATTTGCTCTCCCAAGCACACCAAAGTGCTCGAAGTCCGAGGGGGTGTGTTATAGCATAGTAGGTTATTGGATATGAAATAGTGTTGTATCGTGTCGCTACAAAGCCCGTGTCCAACACTTCAAGACCTTGCTGCAAAGACCAAATCGCGCAGCCAGGTTTTAGACATGGCATCTGCGTGTGCAAGGAAACATGCAGATATCGAGCCGCATTTTCCTCAACTTCGGACCCTAAACCCTAAACCCCAAACTTGACGGCATGTTTATGTCTGGTGGCTCTGGCTTTGCGATGGCATAAGGCTTTTCTTTCGCTGCGGGTTGGAAATCTGACATGCTCAAAAATAGGCATAGCTTCGGACGAGCCGCAGTGTATGTGAGTCTGAGTCCACGTCGACCTACTGTTTATTCTTTATGAATCCCAAGTAGAGTGTTTACGCCTAATATACATATATACACCTACATATATGTGTATAGAATCATGGTCAGTTTTGGCTCTTCAGTAAAGTTGTGCAGTTTCGATGCTTCAGGGTCGCAGCTGTCTGGCAAAATGTTCAGTGTCTGCTTTAGGCTGAGATTTTGCGGCGAAGAGCGTATTCAGAACTTGCGAGGATGAAGGGCCCATGCAGCCGTTCTTCACGATTCTGAAATTCACACTGTTGGTTAGTGAGCATTGAAGCCAACAGAAGTACGCCAGGTCCTGAGTCTAAAGCCGATTCCAGTTGCCTGTGTCGTGAGAGCTCAAGAGTTGATTGTGTTGGAGTCGCTGTCGAAGGTTCTAAAACACCGGGCAGTGTGAGAGCACCACCTGGTGCCGCCCAGTTTTTGAGAGCTTCGAAGCCCCCCCACCCCCATGCAAAACCGAACGTAATCAACTTCCTGGTTCCCGTTTCGACTTGTGGCCATATTTCCGTTGCTGCCTTTACTGGTTCCTGTCATGACCCCATCTCAATCGCGAAGTTTGCAAATCATGAATACGCACCTCATCCCTTCCCGGAAGGCTCGGGCCTTCGCCGGCCGTGCCTCCAAGACAAAAGAGGTGCAGGCAAAGATCGCGTCTCTCTGCAGAGCTAGGCGCAAGTTTCGTAGCAATTAGAAAAGAAGACAGTGCGAATGAGCTCTGCCTGAGTCATGCACGATGGTTCGCGTTTTTCAGTCCAAGGTTCAAGAATGTACGTATAGTTCCAGATCGTAGTCCGACTTCTGTCGCACAGGCAGCAGTGAAGCAAGAAGCTAAAGCAGATGAGTTTGGCGCCCGGATGAGAGGCGAATTGTGTGGTGTACTTGGCTTGATTGGGTGTTGTTGGCTGTGGACTGCAGTGCATGTCGTGTGTAAGCGAAGCGAGCATTGGTCGCAACACCTTGTTGTTTGGATGATACTGCACTTGTATGAACGTGGCAGGCAATCCAACCATCTTGCGGCATCAAGCAACAGACAGATGTGAGGTTGTCATACACTCGTGACAATCAACGAATCAGATCTGTACTTTCGTTACCTCGACCAGGCAAGTCGCACGAAAGCATGCAAACACATTTAAAGACCTGCTTAGACGGATGCAAGGATGCATGCATGCATGCTCACATAAGCTCATTCACTCCCATCCTGGAAGGGGGACAAACTAGTTGGAGGCCTTGTCATGCAGTGTGAAGCCTTAAATGTGAGTCACAGGAAAAAGAACGGGTGCCTGTTGGATTTTCGAGCATCCTCCTGGGCAACTGAGGGCGCCAAGTGCGGAAGCCACATCGCCACCCAAGGAGGCAGGATTGGATTCAGGAGTTCATGGTCGACTTGCTGCCTTAACTTGCAGAAGGACTTCTGCGAATAGCTGCTGGTGCCGGTAGCATTGTAGAGGCATGTCTGGAATGCCTGTTGCTGCGTGGCCTTGTGAGTGCCGAAGTGTTATGACTTCATGGTTGCGATGTCCTGTGACCTGCCTCAGTGAGGCTGGCAGCGGTGGTCCCGGACAGGGTGTGCCCAAGGTCAGAAACAGCTGGCTTGTCTTGTGATCAGACGGCCAAAGTGAAAGGACCTGGGACCGAGACTCGGAGAGGTTTTCGAACACATCTGTCGTGGGAGGCGTTGCTGGTGCTGCCCCTCTTCAGGCACATGATGCTCTCTTGGATGTAGGGTGATGGGCCCTTGTGGGGTAATTATCGTTTTTTCGTTCACTGGGCAATCTCTTGCCGTTGTCCTCCTTCGTGTTTGAGCGGCCAAGCCCTCCCAAACCTTTCACCCTTAGATTTAGAATCTTCATGCAGACATCCTACAACCCTAAACCCTAAAGCCTAAACCCTAAACTTAGAATCTTCGTGCACAAATCCCACACAAAAACCCAAAGAGTTGCCCGTCTGAAGGAAGCCGGCCTTCCCCAATTTCAAGCAGGTCTTGCAGGCTGGAATGAGATGAAAGAAGGGTTTAGGGTTTAGGGTTTAGGGTTCGGCAAAGGAGGGGCTTCCTCTTTTGAGGTTGGCACTCAACATTGCCAGGTGCATCGTGCAATTGGGATTTCATTCAAGGTAAACCTCAGAGACTTTCTGCGACTGTTGGTTGTGAGAGTTTGACTAAGCAGATTTGTTCTACACTCAGTGGCCTTTCTGTTGCGCCCATGGGCGCAGTCAGAAGGGCGCGCGGACCAAGTTTTCACGTCCCACGCCCGACAACCCTAAACCTGAAACCCCAAGCCCTGACCTGAACTGCGCAACCTTGGTCTTATTCTCTCCCTCTGTTCTCTTGCAATGGTAGTCGGCACCAGAGGTGTGAGTGCTGAGGTCTGCTGAAACCCTGAAGCAAGCCCGCCAACCCTGGGCCTTAAACCGCCAGGTGCGGGAGCCGGAGGTGATAGAAATCCTGAAGAACGTGCGGAGCAAGGGCCAGGCTGGACCTGTGCCACCATGGCGAGTGCCATGAAGATCGTTCCTGGTGATACCCATCATTTCCGTCATTTGTACTTTAAATGCTATGTGGGTGTAGCTCCGTGGAGTCTGAGACTGTCGATCCCTGAAGGTTTTCGTGACTTGCGAGAATTTGCTTGAAGGTCTCGGGGCTGTTGTCTGGCGGTCAGAATAATGCAGGGTGTGAAGGTTTCGGAGCAGATGCAGAGGAGGAACTCGGCATTGAAGTTCCTGCCTCTTTTCGTCGTGTTTGCCAGGGCGAGTACATTACCGGATTCCTGGCCAAAGAGCATGCAGTGGCGGGCCGAGTAAAGCCCAACCCGCATAAGTAGCTTTGGAACTGTTGGGCTTTGCTTTACCCCTTCCACCACGATCTCTGTCGGCTTTGGCCCCAGCTGCGGGGGTCTGGCTTTTTGATTCGTGGTTTGTTTTTGCTGATTCGACGTGCTTGCCCAACTTGAGGGAATGGAGACCTCCCCGACCACCGGAGGCGACAATTCCTCAGTTCGCAGCCTCAGTTCCACGGTTCAGATTTCTCAGGCAGCAGAGTCCACTTGTATGAGAGCCGTTTAGGCTTCGATCTGTGCATGTACAAGCTGCCACAGTCAGCCATTCCAGACAACCTGGCAGTGTCTGTTGCCGGTTGCTGCAGCAGCCGAAAATTGAAAAGCCGTAGGTAGGTAGATAGATACGTTACTGGCTAGCCAGCAGTAGCTAGATAGCTGGCTGGCTTTCCAAATAGACAAATACATCGATAGATAGAGAAGTCAACATATAGATAAGATACAGGTCTGCATTGTGTTCGCATTCACACTCCAAGTCTCTGAAGGTCCTGCGGCGAGATGCCGGCCGTATAGCCAGCGCTAGTGGCTTGGTCTTGCGTTCCTGTCTCGCTCTATTGCCCGATGTGCCCATGTAAGCTGAACCGCAATGCGACAGCCAACTCAGGAGAGGTAAACACAAAGAGGTTTATTCACAAGCGCCGGCTCCAGCAGTCGGCCTTTGATTTCGGAAAAGGGCTTTTTGGAGATAAGCTCTGTGCCAGCGCTTGTCACTGACAGCTTCGCGGTCTTGGCTCCCAGCGCCCAGAACGAAGTTCACATCGTTCGACTGTAGAAGCGGCCCCGCCCAAGTTCCATGTCGCTGGCATTCCTCCGCGAGGCTCAACTGGGGCTTCAATGCATTTGAGGCTTGAGTCTGGTTTTCAAAGTGGTCGGAAAGCAGGTCTCGTGCTCTTAGGGTTTCAGCGCGGTCCTGGTTCCTTCACTCTGCCAGCACAGTGCACTCTGGATTGCATGCCCGCCGTGACCAGGTGTTTGAAAAAGCCTTTTTCTCTACATGGACATGGCAATCAGTAAACTTAGCACAGTCAGGCCTCAAACTTCACATTGACATGACACCGAAGCTATAAATTGCTGCCGCTGCTTCCAGCCCCATAAAGCCGTGCAGCATCCCGGACATCTCCCATGCCTGTGAAGTCTACGACGAATTCTGAGACTAAGTAGCTCCCCACACAGAAGCTCTCTGGGAGGCCGCCGCCGCTGCCAAGAAGCAGGAGCCCTCCGGGCGGGGAACCAGGGCTTCACTAGAACTTCAGGGATCCTCTTGTCGTAGTCAGGAGGATTTCGCAGGGAGTGTGTGCATGAAGGCAAGGTGCTTGCAAAGCGGTTTACAGGTTCATGTGAATGCACTGGCCCGTATGCTGCTGAACAAGCATGCCCCAACAGCAATGAAGAGTCTTCTTTCCTCATCGATGCTTGGTGGCAGTGCGCTGCTTGTCAGGAGGCACCACAACCACCTCCGCCCAAGCCCGAAGGACCGAGAACTTGTCAAAGTTCCGATGCATCCGTGGTGTACCGCAAGAGCTGGGATCGCCAAGACCCCAGGCCCAGGCCCGACAAGAGTTATAAGTAGGGTAACTATAGTTATAACCCATATATCTACCCATGAACCTCCAAGTAGGAGAAGCATCTACGCCATGGAGACGCATTGATGACATCGGCAGCGGGCTGTTCCTTTGTGGGGCAGCTGCCCTGGAGAACAAGGCCGAGAAACCAAAGACCAGTCTGTAGCTGTCCGTTTGTTTTTTCGATCGTCCTTCTCTGAGCATCCTCCTCGGGAGCCATCGTGAGTCCTTCAAGCATCGTCATCACAGTATTTGAGCTGTCATCAGTTTTCCCGAGCCTGAACCTTGAATCGTGAAGCCAATCTCACCAAGCCCGCAACCGACTCTCTGATCCCTGACCCCTAAACCTTCTCCCTGTCCCTAAAGGCCTAAGCCTTAAAAGTCATGCCTAGCCCGAATCGCCAAAACGGAACCTCCAGTCCCTAAACCTGCTCTCCCCATATCCCAAGCCCAGACCCCAAAACCCGAAGCCCTGAACCCGAAACGCTGATCCCTAAGACTTACTCCCTGTATCCCAAGAGCAGGCCCCAAACCCGAGGCCTTGAACCCTAAACGCTGATCCCTGAACTTACTGAGCAGGCCCTCTCAGTTCCTTCTTTGCCCTTGTCTGCGCAGGCCGAGCTCGAGCGCTTGGGAATCCGCGGGATCCTGAACTGCGCGAAGGATGAATTGTACAATCGACCCCCGGCTGAACGCTTAATATTATCAGTATAGGATGAAGATTATTATCACTATTTCGAATAGTCTGATTTAACGACCGTAATTTTTAGACCATTGTTATCGTTATTATTAGCGTTGTTATTCTTATTATTCTTCTTATCATTATTGTTGCTACTATTACTATTGTCGTGTTCTTCTTCTTATTATTGCTATCGTTGCTGTTCTTCTTCTTACTATTGTCATTATCGTTGTTTAGCTAAACGCTAGCTCTCAGCCAAGGATCCTACTCTGATGGAGTGCCCTTGCGCATGCGGCTTGATGGCTACGAGATTGACGTGCTAGAGGCGGAAGACATTGAGGTCCGGGAAGACAGGGTTTTGAGACGTCTCTTCGGCAAGTACGAGTCACCAACGAGCTTCATTCTTCAAGCCCGCACTCAGAAAACAAATTTCGATGAATTCGCATGCTGAATTTTGCAAAGCTGCCATCCTGGCAGTATTTGGGACTGCGTCTGGCTCCTGCCCTCAGGGAAGCAAACCCACGGAGAGATAGTCAGCAGCCGTGGTGCAGCATTGTCACATAGCATACGGGAGTGAAGCCTGCAGTAATACTTGCGATAGGATAGCGGTGTCTGTGTATGAGCTATGATGGCGACGACAGCGCTTGCAATGTCACAAGTTGTCATAGGCTTAATGCTATTTAGGTTCATAAGCGGCTGTCGTGCGATCAAAGTAATCGCAATCATGAAATCAACTGAGACAAGTATGGTATACTAGTAAGACAGCAACATAACAGGCCCACTGCTTGTATCACTGCATCTCCTGCTTCTGGAATACTGGTTCAGTCAGGTAGTCAGCATTACATTTTGGGAAACAGAAGGTATGGTAGCAGCCAGAGCATCGTTGCCACTTTCGTCATCATGGCTAACGTGAGCATTATGATGAATCATAAGCAGCACGTTTACCACCATCGTGAGCATTGTCAAAGCAAAAGCAAGGAAAGAAAGGTATGGGCGCGTTTGCAAATACAAGTAACGACTAGACACCGGCCAGACCGTGCTAGACATCCTAAGATGAACAACCACGAGTTGAATGTCGTGACTAAACCCTAAACCCTAAACCCTAAAAGGCGTAAGCGTACAGATCAGACGAGTTTTCTTGCCGCTCAGCGAAAGGATGGAGACGATCAATGTACACACTTAGGACAACAGTCGGGCTGCCGCCCGAACCACCAGAGATGGTATCATCCACCAATAACTCGACAAGAATCACAGCTATATTCCCAACTCTTAATTGCAACAACTTTAGCAGCAGACACGGCAGCAACACCACCAAGGACCTATGTCACATTAGAGGTAAACGTAGTACACATTCAGGCTTCGCGGTGTGCAGCACTGGTTCTGGGTGGCGGTGGGGACTTGTTGCCGTTCAGTGCAATACGGTGGCACTGCTCGTTTCGATTATCCGTTGTGGGAAGGAGCAGCCCATGCGTGACCTTTGGGTTCGTTCGGTGGAGTTCCTGGACAAGGTGCTCCGTGAGGGTGGTTGTGTGGCTGTGCACTGTGCGCAGGGCGTGACTTGCCTGCTGTGTTATTTCGATGGACAAATGTTCTAGGAATCAGTGTTGAGCATGGGCTATCATGAGCTTGACAAGGTAAGCCGGTCAGCGAGCACGTGCCTGGCGTACCTGATGATTCGGGAGGGTTTGTCCCTGGAAGCCGCCTTCCGCCGTGTCTTCACTGCCAGGGCCACTCAGCTATCGAAGATTCATTAGTCAAGCATGTTTGAAGTGTTTGTTTTATCAGGACTTCATCCGCCCCAACCCGGGCTTCTGGCAGCAACTTCGAGACCTAGAGACTTCCCTCTTCGGGAAGTCTGCTGGCGTGGGCAACGATCAGGCCCTTGAAACCTCCCTTCCTCTACCACCGTCGGGCTTGTATTTTCGGTGTTGGATTCCCCGTCAGAATTCCCAAGCCACACAGTCCAAGGACGGGGTCCGCTGTATTCTTCATATGTTTTTTCACAACTTACGCGTTCAGCCAGCCAAAAGTTGCAACCGGCAATGGCCGCTTAGAGCCTGTATCCTGAACCTCGTAATGCCGTAAGACCTGTGGTCACAACCTTCAGATCCTCTTTCCATAGACACATTGGGCAGGATGCTGCCGGGCAGGCACTGCTGCGCCTGGACGAGGAGCTGAGGCTCGGGACATTGAGGAGTCGAAGCTGCCGTCTGTTTGATCTAAGGACTTTAGGAGGGACCCCTAATAGGGGTCCTATATCCCATTATATCCCATTGCATTAAATAACCATTGTATAGTCTTTATATACCCCTTATATAGCCAGGTAGTCCGCATATTAACCCCAATAACCTACAAGGGTCCCGATTAAGGGTCCCTCCTAAAGCCCTCAGATTTGATGATGCTTTCCAAGTGCAGCATTCGTTTTCTCAGAGCCCAGATGTCGTGCAGTGGAGGCAGAAGAAATTGGCTGTGGCCGCCGGTTGGTTGTGAGCAGGTCTGTGCAGATTGGCCACTTGGTCCAGAAAGAGACCGTTGCCGATCTGCGACGTCCCAACGGACGTTAACACGAGGCTTCTGCTCAACACATGGCTGCACTCTGCGGAACGTCCCCTATACAGCCAGACGCTTCGCTTTTCCTTGTGCCTGTAGTCAGGGCCAGGCAACTCTGCCTGGTTGAAAAATCCGATGTACAGAAACTATGTTCCGGAAAGCTGGACAAGCAGCCGGAGCAAGTGCTTTTCCGCGGGCTGCTGCTAGGGTCGCCCGCTCTTCCTAGACGTGTTTCCGGGTCGCTTGCGATATCACGCGATCATCTGAGGCTCCTCGCTTTTCCGGAGGGAACTTCGAGAGGGACCCTCCGTCAATCATAGAAGGATCTCCGCGAGGACCAAACATCGGGACATGCTTCGGAGTTTCCCCATGTAGGCGGCTGGAGCTTAGCCATTGAAGCGTAGGGATGCCTGTGCTCTGAGGCATCTCTTCTGGAAGACGTGGGTACCGTGCTTCAGGCGCCCCCGATGTCGCTCACGTGTGTTTTTTTAGGCCTGCAATCCCTGGTCCACTGCATCCCTTGACTCATTAACACTTCGTGTTGCATCCGTCAGGTACTGGATCTGACCACATATGGATCCAATCAGGGTGGGCAAATCACCGCTGGGAACTTGTCAGTGATGCACAGCTGATGCTGACTTCATCTGCAGATAGCCGAGCAGCCCATTCTTGTGTATTTCGTACCATGAGTGCGGCCGGCTGGCTGGCTATGTTCCACAAGACTTTCACCTAGCTTCATGAAGGTCCGACACTGCCGCACTGGATGTCAAAAAGCAATCAAATGCACCTACCGTCTTGTGTCTGGGGCTGCTTGAGGTGATGCCCCGATACCGGGTCAGGCGTGTGGGCACGCTTTCACAGCAGGTGGCCAAGATCGGAAGAGTGTGCTTCTTGGGATCGGACAAGGCTAGCAATTGCCGCAGCGATCTGTCAAGATCGAGGCTCAAAACTCCGGCTGCATGTGCCTCGCCGGTCTTAGATGTGGCTTGACATGTCTCTGTGCTCCATGGCCATGGCAGTGAGTGTCTCAATTCCAACTCCTGGACAGCACTGAGACTTCCTCTAGAAGGTGGATGCGATGCACTTCAGCCATCAAACAAAGTAGCACCAAACCCCGTCCATGCGCGATGGACGGTGTGCTCAAATGGACTTAGCAGCTGCTTCCGCTCATGGCCGCAGAATCAGAAGCGCCCTGGCAGCCCATGGCAAGCCTTCAGGTCACCATTTCCGTCTTGCCTTTTCTGAGTTAGCCCCTAGCTCGACTTCGGTGCCGCAGGATGCTGCGATTGTGCCGTGTGTCTTTTTTGGCATCCTTGAGCCTCCTGCTAGAGTCACCACCCGAAGGTGTTGGCTAGCGCTCGTAGACGCCTCCTGACATGCATGGCTGGAAGCGTTGGCTCCCTAGTTTTCCCGATCATCTGCCCTGGCTTTTCGTCTTCCGCACTCTGAGCCATGGCATCTGATGCTCTCACTACAATGGGCACCTGCATGTTCGATGACGCCGTCATGGCGGCTAAGCTCCCGGCGGCCGTCGTGCAGCGCTTCAACGAGTGCCTGGTGAGCGGCGCACCGACTCCGGAGGACCCGGAGACATGCACTGAAAGCATTGCATTCTAGCAGATACGGCACTAAACTGTTGTGGAGCCCCTCAATTCACGACGACCTGAAGGCACCTCAGAGATACTAAATTCAAAATGTTCGGATAACTGTGAGGCAGACATGAAGGTTATCGCAGATGAGATGTTTGCTTGGGCTCGCGAGCGCGGCGCGATCGACTTCGCGCACTGGTTCTTCCCCCTGCGTGGCGGAGGCGGCGCCGTCGGCGGCATGCTCGGGGCCTTCAAGAAGGACACGCTCATGGACCTGGAGTTCGGCTCCAAGTACACCACGAAGCCCATGAAAGCCTGCTTGCCAGCGGAGCGGCTTTTCCAGGGCGAGACGGACGGCTCCTCTTTTCCGAACGGAGGCCTGCGAGTGACCCACTCCGCAGCCGCTTTCACCACCTGGGACCGGTCCTCGCCTCCCTTCGTGATGGACAAGTGCCTGTACATCCCGTGCGCCTTCGTGACGCACTTCGGAAAGTGCATCGATGAGAAGACGCCGCTGCTGCGATCCATGGATGCAGTGACCCTCCACGGCTTGCGTCTCTTGAAGAACATCGGAATCGGTACTGATGCCAAGTGCATGTTCAGCTACCTGGGATGGGAGCAGGAGTTCTTCGTGCTGAGCGCCGCCCACTACAAGGCGCGCCCCGACTTGGTGAACACCGGCCGCACGCTCTTCGGCAAGCTGCCCACCCGTCATCAGCAGGGAGACTTGAACTACTTCCAGGCGATCCCCGGCAGCGTGCAGCAGCTGCTGGACAACGTCCAGGCGCGGCCTCCAAATTAATGGCACCCTGTGGTCATCTAGGGAAGATTAGGACATTAGGATCACGTCCAGGCTGAGATGCTGAAGATCGGCTGCCCCATGGCGGTGAAGCACAACGAGGTGGCACCCGGCCAGCACGAGATGTCCCCGGTCTTCCGTACTGCCAACGTGTCCTGCGACAGCAACGTGTGCTTCATGGAGGTCATGAACCGGGAAGCCGCGAAGCTGGGTCTGCAGGTGCTCTTCCACGAGAAGCCCTTCGCCGGCATCAACGGCAGCGGCAAGCACGCGAACTGGTCCGTTGGCACCGACACGGGCATGAACTTCTTCTACCCAGGCAAGACCGAGGCTGGTGCCAAGCTCTACGTGACCGCCATTGCCTGCCTGTCCTACGGCCTTGCGCAGTACCTTGGATGTCCAAGGTATGCCATACGCCCTGTGATTCTGCGATCCGTGGAGACATCGGTGAAAGGTTCTGTAGTTACTATAGTTTTCGAGTCTAGGCTGCTGATGGTTGCTACACTCCCGTCGACCTCGAAGCATCCTTCCCCTTTCAGGTACAACGAGATGGTGCGTTGCACCGTGGCGAGCGCTGGTAACGATCACCGCCTTGGTGCGCAGGAGGCTCCTCCTGCCATCATCTCTCTGTACCCAGGTCAGGGCTTCGAGTCTTTCGTTGAGAGCATCTGCTCTGGTGGCGACCTGCTCGGATACAAGGCTGAGAAGAAGAAGCAGGAGACGGGCTGCAGCGCGGCCATGCACATTGAGGCCAACGTGGAGGACCGCAACCGCACCGCCCCGTTCCCCTTCTGTGGCAACCGCTTCGAGTTCCGTGCTGTCGGCTCCTCCCAGAACTGCTGCCTCCCGCTGATGGTCTGCAACGCAATCATGTCTGCGGGCATGGCACACCTCTCCAGCCTCATTGAGGGCGGCATGAGCCATCGTGATGCCGTGGCAAAGATCTACACTGAGAACAAGCACGTCATCTTCACCGGAAACGGCTACTCGGCGGAATGGCCTGTCGAGGCAAGCAAGCGAGGACTGCCGAACCTGAACACCACGCCCAAGGCCATTGCCACCTGGGCCTCCGAGAAGAACACCAAGCTCCTCGAGACCCTGAAGATCTACACCAAGGAGGAGACAGAGGCACGCCAGGAAGTGATGTACGAGAACTACATCTCCTGCATGTGCTGCGAGGTCGAGACGATGATCCAGATGGTGGAGACCGGCTACCTGCCGGCCTGTGCCAAGGACCTGGAGAAGTTCAAGGGCTTCGACAAGCTCGCCGGCAGCCGCAAGTCAATCTACGACAGCATCGTCGACGAGTTGGAGAAGTTGAAGTCTGTCATCGCAGCCAAGCCCCACAGCTCTCTGGCAGAGGAGGCCACCTACTTGTGCGACACCGTGAAGCCGCAGATGGTGGCACTCCGTGCCAAGGTGGACAAGGCAGAGAGCGTCATGGAGTCGTCTCTCTACCCTTACCCCACCTACGAGGCCATGATCTACTCCCACCACTTCTGAGCCAGAGGCAATGTACTCTTCAACCAACCCTTTCTTCAGTAGCTCCCACCCTTGCCATGACAGCTCTTGCTGTCGCGAGGTAATCTGCGTTTTCGATTTTGGTGGCTTGGAGAGCCACACGAGCCACATTATTTAATGGTGTGTGTGGAGCACGTAGGATAATGTAGGACCCAGATCTCACCTCGCTGTGTCGTCAAAGGGCTGCGATCTTTCGGATTCATCCGAAGTGACAGTTTGGATGCAGCAGGAAC